CATGACATACATATTACTGTAGCTATATAAGTATTATTACAATTAATAATGCATTCGGCACTGCTTGGCATTTTGGAGACGACACGAATCCAAAGCGACGTTTTTAACCATGAAGGTTTTTAGTATTATATTTAAATTGTTTTATCGATCCACTTCTTTTTATACACCTATATAGATAGGTCTTATGTTAGAAATAGCCAAAGTTGTATATACTGTGTAGCTAACGATTTTAACGATTGGTTAGGATCAGCAATAGAAATACAGAAATTTTTTTATGCAAACAAATTTTTAAATAGATCTGTCTGGCTTTATTTTCAAGACTCAAAACGCTTTACCAATGAAATCAACAAATTTCTCAATCTCAGCAAACAGTTGTGACACCTTTTTTCAAATATATTTTAAAAGAAACAAAGTTCGTGCCTAAAATTACACTAATTTTGATCCTGCTCTTATGTTGTGAAAATCATGTGTCAGCTCTTAGAGCTTTTCATGTATTTTGCGTTCCAAAGTATTTGATATACTGCAAGAAAGTAACTGAAGTAGTTATAGCTTATCATTAAAGCTTCTCTCATGTTTCCATAGACCCCGAATATATCCCCAAAATATAAATATGATTAATTTAACTTTTCCAGTATTCCAAGTTGTCCAAATATTTGCTTAAAACTCATTAGGCTGGTCTTAAAGTTTCCGTTGTATCCTCAAACTTCTCCATATTCAAAGATCTTTGCCCAACTGCATGAAAGTCCATTTGAAAAGCTTATTAAACAGTTAATTAAGCTTTTCATATTTTCCCAGCAAACTACACTGAAGGCAAAGTCACTTGAGTAACTCAGCTAAAGTTCGTGCTGTGCTTTCATTGCCCCGCTTAAAAGCTACATAATTACCTAATTGGAAAACCCCGCCGAGCCTCTGTTGCGTGTGGTTCGGGGCGTATGCGTGATCTATAAAATTTCTATGGAATGAAAAACTTTCCGCATATTATGGCAACTGCTTAAAATTCATTGGAGCATTCGCGCGCTTGTCCGATTCGCTTGTTAAAGGCGAGCGTTAACTTTCCAGCTAATAAGTGCTCACATCTAACGGTTTTTGCCAGGCTTTAACGTCTAAGAAAGAAGCGAAAAAAAAAAGAAAACATTGTGCGAAACTTTAGAAAACTTTAGAAAAACAAATGAAAATTTCCGGCTGGCTGTGCGTTCATCATCATCAAGGAATACGCATCAGGCGAGCAACGCTTGAACTTTAATTACATTTTTTTGTTCTTTATTTAACCTGGCGGTGGCGTACCCGGTAAATTGACATGGAAAATCACGGGCTGTGGAAGTTTTGGCGTAAAACGATTTACATTTTCAAATATTCAAATGTTTTTCTTTCGCAAAGTTGTGTTTTAAGCAAACGCCTCTTTTAACTTGTTTCGCCTACTCAAACACTTGCAAATTTCTTAGAAATAGGGGCGTCATTGAAGGCGGGGGTCAGAGCTCAGAGCAGAGTACACATACACCCACACACACAAAAACACACACACATATATATATATAAAGATAGCTAAAGATGTGTTTCTATTGAATATCATTAGGTAAATAAAAAGCCTCTTGTACATTTTGAATATCTCTCAGCAAGCATTATACATACTAACATACAAACGTAGCTATTGTATCTATACATAATACTAACAATAATTTCTAAGCTAAACAAATGATGATGATGATGGAGAAGAAGAAGACGCTAGCGCTTTGCAATAAATACCAAATAAAATAAATGAAGAAAAATAAAAAACATTTCATAAAATAAAAAAATAAACGGATAAAGTTTGCAAAACATTTGTTAAGTTTTTACAATGGAAAAAGCATTCATAAGCAACTTAAAATTAATATAAATACGAATACATATATACACACACACATATACATATACATACATACATATTATAAACATTGTTTAGCTCTTATTTACTATAATATTGTTACGCATTTGGTTCTCCTCTCAAGGAATTTCAAAACTGATTTTTAATTGTATAGTTAAGTGAATTGTATACTATTTGAACTATAATGCAAATGCGAAAACAAAAACAAAACTGTTCTCTCAATAATTCATGAAGAAGCATAAATTTAATTATATAATAAATATACGAAACTCAAAACTGAAATGCAATAAACAAAATCTATTGAACACCAATTGAAATAAGGCCAAAGAATTTTGAACTGATGGGGGAAGTGTTGGGGGTGTCGGTTTGAACTTGAGCGTTGAGTATAAATATACTATAGACAAATATTTATTATTTATTATATTGTGTATCCTTACGACAAAATATTTAGTTTTACTTTCATTGATATCATTTTCTAATCTGTTATACGAGATCTCTTTCAAAATTATGATTATATGAGATTTTTTACTGCCTCGGCTAATGTGCGGTATTTGTCTTTTTTTTATGATCTTATCTTTGTACTCAAGTTCGTCATTTATGCCAAGTTCGCTCATTTAGCTGGCAGCTGTCGGAAAGAGAATAAAATATCTGTTTAAATTCTGACCAAAACACACTTAAGATGCCGCAGAAATCGTTATTCCCCAAACGAGGTCCCCAGTGACATTTTCTTGCTCGCGAAACTGAAGTGGCCAATAAAATGAGGATGCCATGCCATCACTGAGGACGAGTAAAGCCGGCGTTGAAGGAACAGCTGAGCGAAATCATAAAAAATTGAATTTGAAAAAGCTTTGGCAGAAATATTATCTG